TTATAAAAAAAATGCTTGTACATAATAAATATTGATAAACATTAAATTATACAAATTTGACATGTCCACACCCGTCACAGATTGCTTACAAATTACTAACTTAAGCATAAAATAGGAATAAAATATTGATATCGTGATTTTAAAAGAAAGGTGACATAACATCAAATGGAGCGGAAAACAAAATATAAAGTAGTGACGTTTCTTTTATGACATTTTTGTACACAAAAAATAATCATTGTCAATTAATTTGTTACGATTAATTTAATGTCTGTTATATATGTTTTTTCTTGTTTGTATTTTTGTGCGTTAAAAATAAATACAATTAAAAAAATTAACCTGGTTTAAAAGTGACATCATGACATTAGAAGATAAAAACAAAACAGAAACGCAATTTTTACGACACCCTGTATTTCTGTTCTTATAGAAATGTGTTACAAGGTTGATGATGTTTTTTTGTTATATTAAAAATAAATTTTAAATAACTTAAATTCTTTATCTTAAGAATTTATTCATTCGATAAAGTGATAAAATTTACGAAACAGTTATTATTATAAATAAAATTGATTTAATTATACTGTAAAAAAAACAAGTTTTGGTATCTCTCTCATACTTGAACTGGAAATATTCCAAAATGTATCAATTAAAACGCATTAAATATCATGTTAGATATATACATAATATTTAGATAACAATTGAAATTATTATTTTATACATTGTGTGAAAATAACTGACATAGTGAAATAGTGAAATATAAATGGCAGCGAAATTAAGCAAGAACACTTCGTTTATGACACCTCGCTGTTTGTGCAGTAAAGTCAAGTATTGTAGACTGAGATGTCAAATCTACTGAAGTATATATTATTTATAAATACATTTGAAATTGGCTGAAATGGAATTTCGAGTCTGCAAAAAAACGATGCGTAATAAAAAATCGAACGCGCAATATAAATCTTTGCAAAACCATCAATGTCCGAATGCGAGTCAGCGAAATTTGCATTCGATTCGTATGGACTTTACGACGCAGTAAATTGAAATACCCGATGCGGACTCCGTCGTCTAAGAAAACGATTTTAAAGTGAAAATGATCCAGTTTAGTTTTAGTATTAGATATTTTACAGTTTCGGCTGGTCCTGTCCTGTATTCTTTTTTGGGGGGAGAGTACTTGAATGAGTGTATCGAAAGCTGTGAATAATGAAAGAGGGTTGTGAAGAGTGAAACGAAGAATGGTGAACGAATAGTGGAAAGAGAGAGAGAGAGCGGTCGAAAGAACAAGACATTCTGATGAAATTTGAGTCATCCGAGGAGACCTTTGAAAGGCCAACGATTTCATCCGAAAAGTGAGAAGAGGCACGAGAAAGAAGGGAAAGAATGCCAGAAATGCTTAATCTTAAATGTATTCATTTCGATCTCGAATACTGCCGAGATCGAACGCCCAACAAGAAACCAACCGACTAATGAGTAGTTATTACAAATTGGAATTAGAAACAAAAATGAAATGAGCGTACAAATGATTTATGAGAGTGCAATAAAAATGAAGCAAAAACATATCGCGTTTATTATCGAAAGGTTACCCTGCCCGACGATTCTCTAACCTTTTTCGAGATCTAAACAGAACAGCACGAAGAGCGCATGGAAATATTACCGGAACCCTCAGCAGTTGGCAACAAGGTGGAAACGTCAATAAACCGGTGACCACTTTGTTGTGTATGTTGGTGTGCACTTTATGGATAGAGGAAAGCGCGTAATGAAATTCGCCATTGTTTGCTCAAACCCTTTATGGTTACGACAGAAAAACAAAATACATACACAGAAATAAAAACTTGCATACCTTGAATATCCTAGCAACGCGAAATAACAAACGACAACAGAAAATGCACTAAAAACTATCACTCTTACTAACTTAAGTTACTAACTAACTATGCCAGATATCGATATCGTCGTTTCGGGGAAAGTCACGCGCGCGGATTGATAAAATAAGTCGCGTATCTATAAATGAACGGGGATGAGCGAGACGGGTAGATAGACGAAATAAACACAGATACACAACAGAACAGAACATGGTCATGACTGGAAGATAACATTCTATTGCTGGTATATTTACGTTTGGAGCGAGATAAGAAACACAAATTTGTGTTTAATAACGAGCCCACGGTAACATTCCATAAATATCAAAATTATCACCGATGCCAACAAAAAAAATGCAATTTCAATTTGATTACACAATTACCACAATCTCATCCAATTCCAATATACATTAGATTTAGATTAAAGTAGACGCTAAATAAGTTGCATTTTTCTCCATTTAAATTTTGATAGATATATAGTATTTATTGTCAATATTGAAGTTAATATGAACATTTTGTTAACCCACAAAAGAAAAACATAAAAATACGTGATTTATAAATGTAAAGCATTGACATTTTATTGAAACGTCACCAAATTGTCACTAATATGATGAAAATACCAAAGAAACTTGAATTTGCATAACATGTAATTAAGTATAATTAGATGTTTATTTGCATTATAACGTCAAATTTAACCGGTGAACCTAACTTTAAATTTAAATTTGTTGCAATGCTAACTTTTATCTGCGAAATCTAAGAACTAAAAACATCTAAGTTTCAATTTAAAAAAAATGTGTTTGACACGTTTGATGTTTGTTACGTCTTTTAATAAAATATCACGTTTCTGATGTTAAAATTAACGTTAAATTGACTATTAATGACAAAGTTGTTTGAATAAGAATTTACTTATTAGAATTTGCATAAAACGTAATTAAGTCTAATTACGTAATTATATGATAATGTTATTTATATTTATATTTCTTAATGGGTGAATCTAACCTGCAAAATTAAATTTGACAATATGTCAATATTAACTCATGAAATCTATTCACTAAAAACAACTAACTTTGAATTTGTTAGAAATGCGATTGTAGCATTTAAAGTTTTAGACAGTTAAAGAATTATAGTTAAAAATAATGCGTGAAATTTGTGCAGAGTGTGATCCTGCTATGTGACTTTTACCTGTGAAAACAATCGTGTTTCAACCAGTTTCGTATGCTTGGTCATAAATTTGTAAGGTATAAAAACGTGATTTCGCAGTCTGAAATTTCGGTCTATTGGCTAAAAGCAATAAATTTGTTCCTATTTGAACCTTGGACTTTTCAGGTAGTCCAAGTTGACCAACATGTCAAAAAATAATCATTTCTAAAATTAGAAAAATTAGAAGAAAATTTCAATTATGTAATAAAGCCAATTAATATTTCTTTATAAGATTTATAACGAGGAGAGAGAACAATGAGAATAGGTATCACTAATTGCAGTAACGAGATTCCTGCATCTGCAACGATAAGCGAATTTTATACGATAAATGCTTTACAATAGGTTCAATAGAAAACGGAACATATAAATATGCAATTGTTATCGGACAAGTGAGTACCGCAGAGCCATTGTTCCCATTGCTTCCATCATACTTGATAAATCCGTGAATTCTATTGAAGACTATATGAACTGCTTGGAATGTAAACACAGATAAAAAACAAAAAACGTGCAGCGACCGCCCAATCCTATCGCATTGAATGACTTTCGGGATTTAGAAAATGGCGAAAGCGAAAACCAATTTTCATCATCGAATTCAACAATGGGCATTCGAACAAACCGTTCGAGTGTCAAAAGATCTGTTGCGCAACGAATTACGCATTTATTGAAATATTCATTATTGATTATATGTACAGGTTTCCATTCCCTGTCACCTTTATTTTTTTGACTTTAGCAGCGATGCGATTGGATAAACGTCAAGCGGATGAAATGAGAAATCTTGAAATCAGTAATATCGTAATGAAACGCGGCTCAAAGGAAAATCGCCTTAGAAACAAGATTTCCTTGGCTCGTGACATTTCAAAAATCTTCGTCACAGTTTATGTTAATTTCATTTTCAACCTTACAACTATCGTTCCGCAAGACCGGCTCTCGGCACCAATAATACACATAAAACGGACAATACATCTGTATAATATAACAATAACTAAATAAAAATAATATTTTTGTTACTGTTAGTCAGTTTACTTAATTTTAACGGCAACATATTGAATGTTAATAGAAGTTCATTGAAAATGTATTTATAAACAAAAAATATTAATAATTGACTTAGATTATTTGTGATAATATTAATATTTAATATTTAAGCAACGTTAGTAAGTACGTTAATATTTCCTGTGCAAATACATTGTCAGTAAATGTATACAATTGCTATATTAACAAATTTATTATTATATTTATAAAAACAATATACACTTTTATATTGCAAATTATACATGTTCACATATCTTTTTCCTAGGTAGTAGCGGTCCTCCTCAAATTTTATATTATATTTTGCATTATATCAAAATGTGTCAAAACAAACAATTTGACATTTACTTGTCAAAATAGGTACGCCATCTATCGAATTAATGGATGCACTTGCAATTTGTTAAGTTAAAACATTGGTCTATCTCAAGGCAAACTTTACGTTAATATATCAGAATTCGGACAATATATCAGAATTCGATTTTCGTGGCGCCTCTGTGTCGCACATTTTGGGAAATACTATGTTAAATGATTTTATTTCTAAATTGCCATATGAATCGTTTAAATAAAGGACACGTAGCCTCGATGTCGTATTTGACAGGTTCTGTTTGACAGTTTAAGAGCATTCGCTTTTACGAGTTTGGAATGTCGAGTAGTTCGTGGAAGCGAGATGCTGCGGTGAGCGCATTGTTATCAAAACAACAATGACGAGCGACGATGGACAAGTTAAGGAGTTACATAACGGCGTTACTAAATATAGTCGGTTTTTTTTTATATCTATCTTTTATTTCGTTTCTCTCCGCTTCTGCTTCTTCTTGTTCGCGACCACGCCGTGACACAGATACCGCGACGACCAACGTTCTTTTCGAGTTCGTTTGAATCTCGCCGATTGATTATACAGACTGTTGTAGATTTACAATTTAACGCACTGACCGTTCTGGATTTGGACTGATGTCCGGTCCTTCTGTCGGTGTCGAGGCTGAAGCGCTTCTGTAAGAAATCGCGACCTCCGGTTCCTGCTGATGATGCCGTATCTCCTGGAATGTCGTCCTGCCTCCTCGCCGGCAATTTGACCTGTCTATTATGCACGTTGACCACCCTGTAGTGATCATTCTCATCGACGATTCGCGCCCTGAAGCTGCCGCCGCAGAACATCTTCTCGATCTCTTTTATTTAGAAAATTTGAGAAGGACACCACAGTTCACTTCAAACCGACATCACTAGCAGTGATTTTCGTAGGCAAAAAAAAAGCTCTCGCTCGCGTCCTCCGACGACGGACAGACAAAGACTGCGTGGACTCGAAAATTCTTGACCATGTGAAAGAGCGTGTGTGTGCGAGTTTGTGGCATGCATCAAGCGGCAAACCCGACCGACGATCGTGTTGGTATTGAACAGAGCGCACCTTTCGTGAAGGAAAAGGACGAAAACCAGTCGCGGTGAGAGATGGCAGAAGGGCAGGTAGTGCGGGCGAAAAGGAGACGGCGACCAGAAAATCAATGCGATCTCCTCTCTCTTTCTCTGTTTGCCTCGCTTAATTTACCTCGAGCCAGGTAAAAATGCCGTGTGTTTTTGAGCGAGAGTCGCGGAGGGGAACGAAATGCGAATGCCTCGCTGTTGTTGCTGTTGCAAGAAAAGAACTGCTGCTGATGTTGGTGGTGGTTGTTATTGAGAGGCGGCTGAAGAACGAGATAGAGAGAGAGGTACGACGTAGGTACCGGCACCGAAGACGAGAGCAGATGCCGGAAAGAATTACATTTTATTTACATCTGATTATTATTCGCAGCCTACAGTTTTCCACAGATTATCTTCGCAAACAACCACTCACACACATCTCGCATACACATGTCTTTAAAAATCAATCTGTCCTACATCCGCACAAATGACCTAAAACCACTTTACAAATGTCATCATATATGATGTTCATACCTGTCATTAGATGCGCCATCTATGATCCATTAAGAAAGCCAATTCTCGAAGTATTCCCAAACACGCATTCAGAATAGCAAAATAAACACATTCAGCATCTGATTATACAGCCTAAAGTTTTACATAGATTATCTTAAAAAAAACACACACTCATGAATGTACCAATGCGACCAAACCTTAAAATACAAATGGTGTCTGAGTTTTGAACTCGCCGCCATCGTATGAGATTTATGAAATGAACAAAGTAAATTTGACATATTAGAAATATGAAAATTAATTTGACATGTTTAGTGAAATATTATATGTAAGGTTCGAAATAGTTTACATTGAAAACAGTATAATTATAATTGATTGTTTAACCCATTGAAGAGCAAACATATATCTAGACAACTGAATCAGACAACTTCGTCAACTGAATCAACATAGGATGGTATGGACTATAAAAATTCATTCTTTGACATACAAACCAAATAAAAGGGTAATTCCTCTTTCCTGGGCATTTTCTAGAAAATTGCCCACCAGGCATGTTCAAAAGATGGTGCAATGTGTGTCCAACCGCCCCTCAAAGAGTTAAATAACTGAATTATTAAATAAATTTGACATATTGAAAATGTCAATTTCTAAATATTAAACAAATTACAATAGTAAATTTGAGGTTATTCAATCTGTGAATAACTAAATCGTTCCTACATGAGCAGACCTATACATCAACATTACCAAATGTAAAAAATAGGTGTTGGTTACCTTGTTTCAACGAACATTCATTCAAATACAAGTGCGAAGTAATTACAAAACGCGTACATCTTTTCATTTTGTTTGCATGCATTGTTTAATCAAGCCGAAGTTATTATATGGCGTTTGATGTGGGTCGCTGAGGCCAACAAACCCGAAAAAAGCGTTAATTATGCTTTATCTGGTAGACCGTTTCGGTACGGGTAACGAAACGAAACGAAACAAATTCAAATTCTGGATAATTATGGATTAAGAAGAAAAATTGGGTTTAAATTCACAAAATCCGTTCGAACCGATTGTCGACATAAAAATATGAAAATGTTACAAGGGATAAATGAAATGTTCGTATTGCAAATTGAATGCTTTCAGCTTTGACAAACAAGCGGAGTCTATTGTTTCGAAACAATTGAAATGTTTCAATTGTTTCCGGAGTTTTTTTTTTAATAAATTTATTATTAATATAGGTTGTTTCGTAAATACGAATTTGTGCAATGGGATGTGCAATTTCCGTATATAGCAGAAAAAATTCTAATTAGTTTTAGAACAAACTGCCAACTATCAATTTTAATTTATGTAAAGAAAACTTAATACAAAGATATAATGATTTTTGAACAATTGGAATGTTTCAGGTGTCTTAATTACTCTGGAATGTTATGTAGTGATAATGATTCATTTGACTTATCGGACGTAAACCTATTGTATTCTTCATTAAAAAAGAAACAACTTAAGCTGTAATGTATTTACTCCAATACACAACCTAACAAATAATGAAACGTTAAATCGAAAGATATAAAATTTTGATATTTATTTTCATATAATTTTTAACTTACTGTATCAGACGAAAGTGCATATGACGCACCGAATATTTTAATACCTTCGTACAATAAGATGCAATACGATGTTTATATGTAAAAATCGGTGTTTTATGATCCGAAAAATAAACAATAATCATTGTTATATCTGTCAATAAAAAATGTTTTCGACGTTATTTGTCTAAAATAAATACATATGAAAATGTCAAATCTGTCAAGATATTTAAAATTAAAACAACTTTTAAAGTAAATTGTTTTATATTTTTTTCTAAGCCAACTGGAAACAAAAGAAGCTAATGTAAAATGCATAGCTTAAAGGTGAATCTTTTGTTTCGTCGTACGTGGAAATTGTGGCAGGATGGAGACAATGTCTAAGGTTGGAAAATAAGTCTCGGGATGGCGTGAGTTACGTGAATACGAAAATGGAAATGCATGTGTGTGTAGTTTCTTCTGTTTGAATCCTTCCTCCTCTATATCCTCTTTGTGCGCCGCTAAACGAATGATGGATGAAAAAACGTTGAAATGGATTTATGTAGTTGTAAATGTTCTGTGGCCAAGATGGATGATGAGCCGCACGAGTGGAATATGGTAATTTTTATTGTTTCTAACTACGAAACTAAGCGTGCGTGGGAGACACAAAACCCGTTTTATACTCAATTTATTTACATTTGATTTTTTCGACTATTCCTCCTTCTCCTATTTGTTTAACAGCATTTTTTTTTCATTTTTGGTTGGTGGTATTGATTTGTACGACAAGTGAATTATGTTTTACTTAGCAATATTTTTAAACATTTTACGAGACTGTTTTATCCAAAAGTTTAAAGATCAAGAAACATGTTCTTTTTTATATTAGCAATTTATATTACTATGAATTACTGCCGTTAGATACTAACTACATATTTTACTTCTCAACTTGAATCAACTAAACTTTTTTTTATTTTGCAACTTTTTAGTTAATACAACAAATTTATACAAAAAACATATTAAATTATAAAACAAATGACGTAGAAGTGCATTTGTTTCCCATATTAACAATTCGAATTAACGTATTAATTGTTAAAGTGAATGTTATGTAATAGAATTAAAGTAATGCATTATAGTAAATAAATAATTATATTAGGTAACATTATTACATTTATAATTATAATACCGCATTAGGAAAAACAATAATAATTAAAAGTACATTTTCAATGATTCCACAACACGTATGTATTGCATAGCAACAGCGTTCTTTTAATTGCGTTGAGTTACGTCCGATTGAAGTTATTTAAAATTACATTTATTTATTTAAAGATATTACTAGTTAGGTTATTTCAATTAAAAAATAAGAATGTAATGATATAGAAACAATCAAAAACATATATGCTTTGCTTAGAAACACTTTGTTTCAAATTATTTTATGTGTAAAAGCTTTTTATTAGTATTCTTAGTAAATGTGACTTATGTTTCGCAGCATCCTGAATAGTTATACAATCGATTCAAACACATTTATTTTGTATTATATCTCTGGTTTAAGACCATTGCTCATTATTAGAGGGCGGAGGAAACGTGCACGTGCCCTTTTTTTTGTCCATGGTCCACTAATTGTTTAGATTTTCGGTAGGGCAGCTGCGTATCAAACCAAACCCTGCCCATCGAACCGAACCATATGGACACCGGACACCGAAAATGGCCCATCTGGTACCTAGAACGAAGACGAATAGACAGAGATGGAGCGAACCCCCATCACGATGAATTGCGGGCACTAAACTATTTAAGTTTTGATTAACCATCCTCATAATCTTTACGCCTTCCATGCCCGGGACAGCTGACAGTCGAAAAAGGCAAAAGTGAGCTGAAGAAGAAGAAGACGAAAAAAAGGGCGAACCGGTGAAACTCGTAATAAGAGGAAGCAACGCGCGTTGCGAAGAAAAAAGAGAGAAGTAGAAGAGAGAGAAAAAAACAACAGTCCGGACAACAAAATTTAAGAAGATTTCTGATTTCCGCGGCACCTGCCGCAGGTGTCCAAACTTTTGCGTGCGAATAAAAAAAATCCGAGCTGCCTGCCCGATTTACTTCTTCGTTTTGCATTTATTTTTTTTCCGTTTTGTGTCGGTCGTTGCGAGCTCGATGGGATTTTTGCTATTTAAAAAGCGAAAGTTGTTAATGGCAGACGCAATAATAACAAATGAAGAATGAGAGAAAATAAAGGAGGTCTGAATCGGCGGCGCCCACGGAGAGAGCACCGAAAATAACGAATTTGAGTCATCATAGATGACGCGATTACTCCATCTGCTTTACTTTAAATGACGCTCACTTCTCTCGCCTTCCTCTCTTTCTCTGCACTCCAGATCTCACACTCCTCTTCTTTTAGCTCTTGTTTTTCCTCAAACGAATGATTTACGGTTGGTTCGCGACTGGAGCAAGAGGCGCCAACCCATTTGTTTTTTCCATTGTTGTTTTTTTAATTTTCTACTTCTGTTTCTTCGATCCTATCATAAGATCATTAGGCCGGGTTATTGGTTTCCTATCGATAACGACTCTGTTAATCCGACACCAAATTCCGCTGATCCACTTTCGCTGTTTACGCAAACAATGCCACCAGACGTTAAAAATTGATACAGAAGCGAGATAAAGATTAACGGACTTTGCGTCTCCACAATTTCTTCAGTTTCAACGAAGGAAACAATGTTCGTTCTAATCGTCTAATCCGAAAATCAGTTTCGACTTGATCTAGGTCAGTTTTGAAAACGTCATGTTTTGGCTCAGATATCTTAACGGACTCGTTTGTGTAATCACATCAATTACATGGCGCTCTCTATCTTTGCCTCAAGACATATAGAACTG